AAACTGTAACCATATTTCCACCCATACTCATAGCTGTCCATACAAGCACAGCAGCACAGGTTGGGGGGTATCAGGCCTCAACATTAAGTTGTTCAACTACTTGTCCGTCGAGCAAGTAGCACTGAAAATTTACTTGCCCGAGGTACGATTTTACTTGTTCAAACCCTGGTTTAGTTGCTCTTTGCTTCCTGGGACGATAAGTTCCTTCTTCACCACAATATACATCACCCCCAACTATTGCGTGTGTGCAGAGAGTGCACAGGACTCTGATGCATCATTCATACAAGTGTAGGGAACGGTAATTATTTCTTAACCACTCAACCATTTCGCCTGGTGTCATATATGCGGAAAGTACAGACACAAGTACATGTACCAGGCCAAATTCACTTATGTTGAAGTCACAGCCACATGTAAACAGTCTTCGAGCTTCATGGCTTCCAGCTGTCAAACCTCCACTGTGCCACACGTGCATTAACCTATGAGGTTTGGTACCCAGACACAAGGGTATTTTACAGTATTTGTGTACGCATTTTCCCTTGTGTGGAAAGGTACCCTGCTAAATGTACAACGTGCATATCCCTAACACTCCCAAATCCTCCATGTACGTAACGATGCAAAAAATCATTGTGCACCACATAGCTGTTTACTTTTTACCACGTTTTATAAGCTTTTGTAAAGAGGAAAAAAAGCAAATCAAAGGTAAATTTGCTGACTGTTATTCTTGGCCACAAAAAGGACACTTATTTCAAGAAAAAGTGCCTGTTCATCATGCAATTTGTCCTTAATTTTTATACTAGCCCAAAAGAAGAAATTACTTGTCCCAGGCAATGTTGAGGCCTGGGGAGTATATGCTCAGTGGTTGCCGGGGTTTTGTGACTCCTGATCATTGGGTCAGGAGGCAAGTCACTAATCCTCTGCTTGCCTCGCTCCACCCATGAGACATCAAGAGACACCTCTGGACAGTACAGGTTGCATGTGTGCTGACGTAAGCTGCTGAAATAGGTCTTAAGGATCAATGAATGGGGTAATAATAATTGGACTAGCACCTCGAGCGGTTGATTACTAGCGGCTGACCACTGCAGATGTTGATGGAAAAAAGGTTAGATTTTGATGAGTTTTTAAGGATTTCTGAATCTTGTTCTGCTCCCAGACAGGCCCCTTTCAGAACAGACTGCGAAGTGACTGCCATCTGCCAGAAATTATGGGACAGCGACGTGAACTGCCTGATGCCCGGGGAGCACTATGAGCTGGATCCCCAGGGCTACACCTTCTACAGCAACCAGGGCAAGAAGGACCAAGCCAAGAGACCCCTCTTCAAGTGGGTGGACAAGGATGCCCTGGAAAGGCCCACGTACAAGAGTGAGTCGGTCCTGCTTGATCCACAGCGTTTCCCCAGGGTAACATTGAATCCGCATTTGGTGGAGTATCGACAGAGTGGTGGACATGATCGCTGTACACTCAGACCCCATCTATCCCACCTTGCAGAGCCTCGATCTGACAGCTTTACACATTAGATATAGCCAATTCAGTGATTCCCGTCTATGTTGCTTTGTAATTTTGCGCGTGTTGCCTCAGCTCTTATGCCATGCGATTGGACAATTAGTTCAAAAGCTGCGTTGATGCGATCCTGATGCGATTCTACAAGCTGCCGTTCGAGGCTGTGCATGCCTATGGTGGCAGCGTGCAAAGAGCAGATAAACACGATTCTTTGCCAACTTTTGGCTGAGAAACATTTTCAGGTTGTGAATGGTACCCGGCACAATGCTCCCAAAATGAGTGGAGGACATCCCAAGTATGCAGATACAATTTGGAATATGGCCGTTTCACAGAAGTGCACTACAAAGAGTTTGCAACGCGTTGGCCAATCACGATCCGCAAAAGTTGTCGATCCAATGCGCATTTAGAAAGTCTCGACAAATTTCGAGCATTGTGATTGGCCAATGGGATGCAAACTCTTGGTGGTGCCTTATTGTGAAACAGCCGTATTCATCTGCGTCTAGTGCTTCAGTCTGGCATGTTTGACAGACACAGTTTTTCATATTGGTAGTTGCAGCCCATGGCAGCAGATTTATCTGTTCTTGAGTCAAGCACTGTTTGTTTCTCCTCACCAAGGTATTAATGGTCATCTGTTTATTACCACTGTGGTTGATATATTCAATCACCTGTAATTACCACATCTACAATTACATACATGTACATAGGAACTACATTACCCCTAACCCTTCAGGGCATTTTGGCAAGCAACCCTGTCACATGCATCAGTCAGCATCATTTTGCAAAGTGGCTTGCCTGCCCAGTGCAACAAGATTCAACAGGTCAACTCTCTCGAAATCCAAACAGCCTGGGAGTCTGTGGTTGTCAGTCACCACAAGATCCAACAGGTCAACTCTCCCTCAAGGGGCCCAACAGCCTGGGAGTCTGTGGTTGTCAATCACCACAAGATCCAACAGTGGCATTGTTCAGTGGGATTAGTTCATATTGTTTCAACATGGCCAGTCTGTTGGCTGCTCTTGATTGCCCAGTGCAACAAAGTGTATCAGACTTTTGACATGTGCTGCACTTTGCTGCGGCTGGCAAGGTTAGGGTTAATCAAGGGCTTTTCCCCCAAATTTGGTTTCGTCCTTTGCTTTCGGCTTCAACCTCACAACCTTTTGGCAATGTTGAGATCCGCCTGCTTGATTCAGATCATAAGGCCAAATTTTGCAGTGGTTTTATTTGGTTCCAAACCATGACAGTTTGAAAATATTTCTGGATCCTGAAATGAAACTTAAAGCCAGAATTTTGAACACAGGCCCTTTTGAGGACTCTGATAGCACATCTCCAGGTATAGTTGGAGTTGAATATTTACCAAAACTCAGTGGCTCTTTTTGCTTGACTTACGACTCACCAATGAGATGATGAGGATTTGTTCAAGTGTTTTTCTGCCTTGAGCAGAAGCGCCCCCTTATCAGTTGAAAAGAGTCAATGTTGGTTGGGAATGTTCATTTTGTTGGTAGTGATGCCACTGTAATGTGTGTATTTCATAGTTGTTTGTGAACCAGCAAAGTGCAGCTCCTATCAAAGGAGCCTGCTTTGCTAGGAAAATTACACCCTCTCGTGGTCCAGCTCGGGGCTCATAATATCAAACAATCTATGCTGCACTTCATTTCGAACATGCACTGTTTAAATGGGTCATTCCATGAGGTTAGGGCACAATTTGTGACGGTGTCCTTGTTACATCGGTAAGTTTTACCACCTGTCATGACCTTTAGAGTAGGTCATTTACTCTATAAAAATAACACACCTTTGTATTCAGCCTTGCACGATGCACATGTATAACAATGTCATTTGGGAATCCACATGCAGGGAAATAGCTGTTCATTTTACGGAAGCCGTGTAACAATGGACACCGTTACAAATTGTGCCCCAAACTCATGGAATGACCCAAATACCAAACTGGCTTATTGGCAGCTGACTCTGTCACTGGTACTGTTGACTGCTAGTGTCAAGGTTGCACTAAGTGTCTGGCAGGGTTTGTAAGGTTTAAAAGCACTGTTTGGATGGATGCATGCTGGATGCAATGTATACAGTCATTTTGACAGCGCATCAACGATCATATTTGTGTAATATCTGTTTTTTTCTAAGGCTTCATAGCCCTTCTTGACAACTATGAGACAGCCACAGGAGTATCTGAGGTAGTGACACCAGAAGAGATAAGAGAAAATAAAGTGTTCTTGAATGAGATCATGAAAACAAAAGTAAGTCTTACCCTAAGTCTTGCCCGAATGTTAGTGCCATATTAGATTTTTTGTCTGGTTCAGTTTGGATGAAAAATTCTGTTCACTGTTCTATCATAAGGCATTCACTCTTAACTGAGATGGTTTAATCTTAAATTCCAGGCCCTGTTGTCAGTAGCCACTCTGTTAGATTTTGATCATACATGTACATGTATGTTTTGAATGGCACTAATTGAGTTCACTTGATTACATGTCTGGAGTACATGAAACGAGCATGGAAAGTTGTTAAGAAATGACATCAAATCATAACAATGAATTTTTCCACAAATTATTTGTCATCTTGTTTGTTTTTTATTTGTACCCTCATTTTGTCTTAACATGGACAATTCCTATTTCATCCTACTGAGTTTTACAAAGTTGTTTCTCGTCTGTAATTCCCTGGTAAAATCTTAATAAATGACCGTAAGCCTTTAAAACGTCCATAAGTTAATTTGAAAAAGACTCAAAAATGCATGATTTATTCAGTTTGTTTCCTCAACACTTCCAGGGGTAGTTGCTGGAATTTGCTGCATTTTAAACCTTTTTTCTTCTTTGGTTTCTTTTGGGTTTGTTTTACAAAATAAGGTGATGAAGGAGGCTCACCACTATCTAGTCCAAAAGTTCCCTTCCAAGATTCCCAAGGACGACCTGGACTTCAAGAAACTGTTGTATAAAGTCTGGTTTAACCTGTACCCAAGAACCAAAGGGATGAGGGGCAAGTAAGTTTATCAGGCTGTGGCTGTGGATCTCACAAAGACGGTGAGGAGTTGTTGGAAAGGATTGAATGGAACATGTCAGGCCCGCTTACTGTTTCCATGTCTGGGTGTTTTTCCGGTATACTACTTGTACGGCAAGCTGTCTCATGTATGTGGTTTGTAAACGAAACAGTAGTCACCCACAGTAAGTAGAGAATTGCAACCCGCACGGATAACCTATCCAGTATGTTGATTATGTCTGTTTGCATTTGACACCACACGCTTTACAGGAGCTCAAGCTTTTGCTGGAAGCATTATCATAAAAATGTATCAGAAGTGACTGGATCTCTTGGAATGAGTCTCAGGGCTCTAGTTCATTTTTGTTAGGCTCTGTCACAAATTTTCGATCCAATTTTGCATTTTTACTGAAGTACCGAGACAGACATGTTTCATAAAACAAAGCTGATCATTGTTGCCCGTCATCAGACCTGGCGATTCATCTGGGTTTGAACACGTATTTGTCGGTGAGAGCAAGGACGGTGAGGTGACTGGCTTTCACAACTGGATCCAGTTCTACCTTCAGGAGAAGGCCGGCAATGTGGACTACAAGGGCTGGGTACCCCCAAGGGGAAAGGTATGTACCCATGAGCATCTAGGGGGCAAGGGGGACACCCCCATCCACCCCGACTCTAAGAAAAAAGCAAAAAAAAAATGAAAAGGGGGAAAGAAGAAGGAAGGTAAGAGAAACAAAAAAGGGCGAAAGGATACGGAGATCAGCCAATCGCTTGAAAATACCTCGGGAGTCGACTCCCTTTCAGTGTTGGTGGTTTATCAGTGTTTTGCTCAGAAGTACCCCTCTGGAGAACATCTTTGTGATGCCCATTTATGTACCTTGGGAGCAAGGAACAAAGGCCATCACGACCCGTCCTGTTAAGAAACAGACCAAGTTATTATTCAAATGAGTGTTCGTGTTGATACCCACGTTGGAAAAGCAAATTCTAAAACCAATCAAAGAACTGTGTTTGTGATGTTTGTTTGACAATTTGTACACTAAAAATCCCACTCTGTCTTAGTGAAATCTGTTCACTTCCAAGTTGGCAACATTAGTAATGCTGTTTGTATCGCGACCTCCGGTCATGATCTTTGGCTGTTTGTGGTATAGGTTTGGATCCACATCCAGAGCTTGTTATCAATTTTTTATTAGACAATGTAAAACTGGTGTAACTTAAGTTTGTGACCCATATTGTGATACAAATCATATCGTGTCCCGATAATCACAACATGTGGGTGTTGAATTAAAAAAAACCAATAGCATCAATGAGCGTTTACTCATCAACACTCTAATAGTCAAAGTCTACGTTCAGGAAAATGGCTTCTGTTTATATCATGCTACACCAAAAGCATTGTTACATCACAGCTCCATCTCAACTGGTTCTCTCGTGACTGCATGGGCTGTGATCTGAAAATGCTGATTGAATTCTTATGTGAACTGTCTGCCACAGAGAGTGAAAAGAGGAGAGTCCCAAGAGAACAAACGCCTGATGAGTTTGCAGTTCACATGGAAGGGTAACATCAAACCTGTCGGCAGCTCCTTCATTGGCACTAGCCCTGAGTTTGAGGTAAATCCACATTTCTTACTAATCGCCCCCTTACTTGAAAACAACATAAATGGCGAGCCAATTGTCTGTTTCGTGCCCTCTTTTACAGTCGAAAAAAGACCCCATAATTTAAGGACCAGGAACAGTCTGCTCACATTCCCAGGCGTACATAATGTGCATTAAACAGACAAACGGCAAGTGCCATCCAATGAAGTGCAATGTTGGCTCGGCATGCTGGACCACAGGAAAGAGTGTTACTAAGTGGCAAAGTACACCCTTTCATGTACCCATTCGTCCTTTAGAGGATATGTCAAAGATTTCAGTGGCCCAAAACCCATTGAAGCAATGCTTGGGACTTTAGGGACAGCACACATGTAATACTTGCAGAGCAGGTTAGGATCGTTACAGTTTTCAGCACACGAGGCACATGTGTTTGCCACCCAAATCAGTCGACAGCCACGTGATGACCGTCCCTCTTCTTTACTTAAGTAATCCAACTTTCTGTCCCTGTCTTGAATCCCACACAGATGGCCCTCTACACAGTACTGTACTTTCTAGGCAAGAGAAGCTGCATGATTGAGCTGGATGAATACGACTTGGAAATCACCGTCCACACCTTTGACAGGCAGCCCATGGACATCCTGAGCAGTTCGTATCCGACAATAATCAACACTGATTAAATGTTAGCATTGGTCAGTTCTAGCAGCTAGTTTTGGCCCTACTTCATACAGGGTTGCGTCCTTGCGAGATGCTGGAGGGCCACAAAATGGGGGAGATTCATTAGGCCTGTACGCAGTTGCTGACTGGTCCAAATTAACAGAGGCGGGCTTGTGGGTAAAAAGGTGAACACTCCCCCTCCTCGTCACCATGCAAGATGCCGGGATTGCTCTAAAATTTCTTTAGTTTGTCGTCTTCCATCAGTCTCACTCCCAGGGTGCTCACAATCTTCAAAGTGCTGTAACCTTTGAAGTATTACATACCCGTACATGTAGTTGCCAACCTCTACCCTTTCAAGCCGTTAAAAAAAAGACCTTTCCAGGATAATTGCTGGGGCATACCATATTGTTACTCGTTCCTGCCTTTTTCACAGTCCCTTTTCTTGTCGGTTGGAGCTGTGCGCTTTTCTTCTCTCACTTTAACTCACCAAAAATGTCCATTGAACTATCATTTTTGGCTGTTCCTCAGCTTATGTGAAGGCTAAGATTACTTAACCACATCGCACCGGGGGCATTTCTGAATGTTGATTCTGCTGGGACAGGATATTTTTCTTTTTATTCTGTTTTCAAAATTCTTTAAAAATTCATGTCTTCATTAACTGGATACTTGCACCCACATGAAGGCCTGTCTGGTTTCTACTCTAATTTGACAGACAACATCTATTGGCGCTGGAGTATTTCAGCCAGGCGGTGTTACATAGTTTTCATTTGTTCACAAAACTGGCACGGTGCACTGCTGAGGTCTTTTCAATAGGGGCCAGATTAGCATGCAGCGGTACTCTGTGGCTCATCGCTGCAGTGGTGGAGTGGTGGTAATCCACTCACACTGAATGCCCCAAACAGTGGTATACTGTTTCAAGAAATGCTGGATTATCTCCACTATTGAGAGTGAAATAATGTTGGTAATTCCTAGCACCCTGGTCTTTTGTTACGAGTATGGTCTTTTGTTACAAGGTCCAGTTCCTTTTGTCCAATTTCGGAGACCCCAGCTATGCATATAAACAATACATGCCCAAACCAGGCTCCCCGGCACCAAGTACTTAAGTGTATTTTCATATGTAAAATCATAGATTCATAAAATATTTTCATATTTATAATCATAGATTTATAAAAAGAGAGACTGTTCCTTCATCTCAGTGAAAAAAAAAAACCAATGGGCTGTTGATGTTTTCTTGTAAGAGCATTCATGTTTATGTTCAGAGTCACTGACCGCCATTTGGAGGACTGAATGCCGGTCACTGGACTGCAATGTTTGCCCTTTTGTCAGTCGGATATATACGGACAGTTGGGAATATCAGTTAAATGTTTGGGCCTTTTTGTTATTCTTTTACACATTTAAATGAATTTGGACCCATTCTTAATTTATTGTAGGTTTGTGTAATCCAACACTTTAGCAATACAAGGGAATTTAGATGTAGATTTGGCTTTATAAAACAGCTAACCAAATGAAAACTAGATATACAAAGTATGCATGACCAAACACCCTTTTCTCAAATGTTGATGATTTATATTTAGACACAGGAACTTTGAAAAAAGTTTTGGTATATGTGTATTGAAAAATAAAAAAGTAATATGAAAATGATGGATGTGTCAGTTAAAGTCCTGAACTTTAACTCTGACAGCATCTCGTTGGATGATTATCAGCTTATCAACAATCATGTTATTATCCAATCACCCTTTGTCTGCACACCCTTTTGTAATGTGTATGATGTATTTTGGACGCCCAGGGGAAGATTTCGGAGTAAACTTAACATTAAAAGCACCAGCTAGTTAGAATTTGTCTTTTTCTCTCAAGTTTTTGGGTAAAATAACAATTTTAAGTGAATAGAAAAGCGATGTAAGGCAGGTATCAACTGTGGAATGAGATTCAAAGTGTAATTCAGGTCTCTGCAAAGCAGTATAGTTTTTCAAACCTGCAGAATGAATTACTGACATATTTTTGTTTCTTAATTGTGTTGGGGAAAAGTACCTGGATTTGAATCTTCTCAATTTAAATAGTACACATAATGCTTTGTTCCATTTTTGGAAAGTTACTGACAGTAGGATATGCATCATTCCACAATTTCCTCTTTGCAGCTGACTTGAAACAGATCAATCCAGATTTCATTTTTATCTACTTTGTTATCATTGCCCGGGGTTTTACTGTCAGTTTGGTGACTGAAACCAGAACTGCGAATATCGTTTGAACTAGATCTTAGGGTCCAGTCTTACAGAGTTATATCTTACAATGCAGCCTTGATTCAGCCAGTGCATTGTGCTAACTTGTATTTGCCTGTTTCCGACAAGCTGTGCTTGCCAGGCTATGCCCTCGCCTGGCTTCGTTTTTCTATCACATACGGGTCAAGTGAAAGTGGATGTGTCTAATTTAGAAGTATTTATTTTCATTGAAGAGAAGTTTATATTCTGAATGTCAGATGTCATTCTCACCTGTGCTGAGTGTGCAGGCACTGACAGCCAGTGGCAGTGTTACCCTTTCATGTTTTGTCCAGTGATGATGCAGTAATATGGCCCAGCGAACATAAAGTGAATGAAATTCCTGTCGCCCAGCTACACTTCCTTTCACAATTGTGAAACAGGAGAATTGAGATTTTTGGTAAAGTTCCTATTTAGTAGAGCAATTTGTTGTTGAGACAAATCAAAAGTGGTTTTGCCACCACCACTTATTTCCTTTGTCCGTTATACTTTTGTAACTTTTATAACAGTTAGTGTTAATGAGATGAAAGCCAAAGGTTAAACGTAGTATCATGTCTACTGCTACATGTATAGTAATCATATTTGCTATTTTTTAAATAGGTTACATATATACACTGCTTGGTGAAATGCCCATGTCTAATGTCTTAATTTTGTAAAAGTATTAAAAATGGGCAAGTTTTGGATGACTGTGAGAAATTGGAATATCACCTCATTTTACTTCATATTTGTGCTACCTGTGAACACTAAATGTACAGGTTTAGTAAATACTAGATTCATCTGCAGCTATGCAGAAAATCCAATTATCAAGATTATAATATTGTCTTCTTGCTATACTGCCCAGTATTTTTAAGATTGGTAGTGATTTTAAAATTAACCATTATTCAAATGACATTATTAATGAAGTTAGATCAAAATTTGTTGAAAAACTAGAACATTTTATATTTCTCTAAATTTAATCTCTGCTGGTCCTCTTGGAATTTCTGTAGTCATCATTGCTGGACAAGTACATACTTTGTCATGTCACTGGCCTTAACTTTTGTTTTGGTGGTGGGTATAAAACTACAGATTTATTGATATAAATAAATTGGCATGTGGGACTGGGACGATTTTGATAATAAAAGAGCTTTAATTGCATGATGCATTTATCTCGTCAAATGTATTATTTTCACATATAGTTAGCCTTCAACGTTTACTTCGAACTTGCCCGCAAATGTTGTATGTATTAATTTTGCAGCTCAGTTTGTGTTATTTTCCTTTTTGGGATTTCCTCTTTCCTTGCACGGTTGGGGGAACTTGGGAAAAAGATCTGAACTCATGGGAAAGTTGGGGCCACGGATCCCACCAGTGCGAGACCACGACCCGCGAACACATATACGTCAACCTCTGGTCGTTTTTCTGTGGTGGTACAAGAATGCGCTGCCAATTCTTGTGTTTAACAAACGGATAGTTCAGGCTAATTTTTGAATCGTATTGAATGTAACAAACCAGATGCGAGTCAGAATGTCGACAAAAATAACATCAAATCAGTGCTCTGAAACACGTGATTGCCAAGCTTTCGGTAACTGAGTACCTTCTTCAGGGCAAGCAGATTGCCCTTAAGTGCTTGCCGTGAAGAAGGTAGGCCTACTCAGTTACCAAATGCTCGGCAATCACGTATTTCAGAGCACTGATTGATGTTATAGTCTTGTCGATATTCTGATCACGGTGCTACGCAGCCCTTCCATATTCTTAGAAATAGTCAGAGATGTGGTAATTCCTCATTTAAAATGCATTGAATATTTCTTCAAAAATTGGTGGCCGTAAATATTATTAATGGTGTTATGTGAATTAACACGAACTACACGAAGTTTGAATAAAAACCCTTATTGATTCAATGCGTGCATTTTCTATTACAACACCATTTGAATGTCACTAGTTCAAATGTGAAAGTTAGAATTTTTCCCCTTCCGGATATCCAGAAAAATGGATAGAAAACAGGAACTTCTTTAAAATTTCGATACCGTTTGGCCACCTGAATAGTTTCTGGTTGTAGACTAGACATCTTATGGCAACAATGGACATTAGGCCGGGCCGCAACACCAACGTTAGGGTGAACATGATGGAAGGAGTCGGAGCGAGAGTCGTCCGTGGGCCCGACTGGAAATGGGGCAAACAAGACGGGGGCGAAGGGCACGTAGGCACGGTCAGGAGCTTCGAATCCCCGGAGGAGGTCGTGGTTGTATGGGACAACGGGACGGCGGCCAACTACCGCTGTGCTGGGGCCTATGATCTCCGGATTATCGACAGTGCCCCGACAGGTTGGGGAAAAATAAAACTGACTATATTGTTTTTCTTTCTCAAAAACCGATTGCACACTGAGATGTGGATACCAGTAACATAGAGGAATGTTCAGTGCACTTGACTCTTGCTCCAGTTTATTGATGGCTCTGGCCTTTCTGAATTTATCATCCTGCGAATGGGTTTAATTCAAAAGGCAGATCAAGTCTGGAGGGAGTACAATGAATTTGCACAAGATTCAAGATTACGCTGAACAAGAATACTGTTCTGATTCATTTATTTGCATTTTATTCAAAATAGGTCCTATAGGCCTACTACTTAAGTCATTTGTACAATGCCTAGTCCCCTGACATGCCTGATGTGTTGCACCTCGATATTCATGATATTAGTATTATATTTCATATACTTGACTTTCTTCACACAGTGTTGCCAAACCTCTTTCTTGAAAAACATGGAAAAAGTAAAACTCATTTGGTTAAAAACGGATACTATTGCATTCATGATACATGGTTTTGAACCTTTGTGAACAATTTCATTGTCATGAAGTTTCATTCGAAATGCAAAACTGTCGGTGTCCAGAAATTGGGCTCGAATTCAGCTGAGTGTTCCCTAATGTAGTGCAATTGAAAAAATCTCAAAATCCCACAAAAGCATCAACAAAATCCTTTGAATTTGATAAATTCTTGTAATTCCGCTCAAATACCCATCCACAAATTTGTCAGAAAATCATTTACTTTTGGTCATGTTAAATTAGTTCATTTTGCATGTTAGAAAAAATTGAAAAAATCTGGCAAAAAAAATAACATTTCATCTTACATGTACACTGTAACTTTGTAGCAGGTACGTTAAATCAAGATTCAGAATTGGAATATAAGGAGTTTGAAGTTTCACCAGTTGTAAAAATTATCTAAACATTCTCCATTAAGACAGAGAAGTGAAACATGAAAGTGTGTCACATGGGCTGTGCCACGTTAGGGTACATGAACAATGTAGGCCTAACATTAGGCTTGTTAATGCCATTCCTGTTCAAATAAAATTCAATATTTTCACACATAAATGTACATGTATTGTATTCGTTACTCAGGTACGGTTAGGCCTAGAAAGATGCACAGGTTTTGAATTTCTTAAAAGGTTTGACAAGGAAACATTATATTCATATGACTTTTCAACTGTATATTGTATCATAGAATGCTGGAGGTAATTAACACCCACACACACTAAGGCATTATGGACCAAATTGTGATCAGTTTCTACATCATATGGATAAACATTTCTGGATAGGTAATCTATGTACATGTGTATCATTTAGGAAAGCCGTAAAAGCTGTAACACTACACAATCATACTGTGAATGGTGACAAATTAGTTTTCCTGGCAGTCATGTATGGTACATTTAAAATTACCTCATATTTCTGCAATGGAAAAAAAGCATTAAACCTTTTTAAGTGGACGTAATTGGAAAAAAAGACTATTTTGGAGACAGTTTGCACTTAAATCTGACAATAATTAAAGGTACAGTCCATTATTTACAGTTATCCAAAAAGGAACCTACGAAAAGATTGTTGAAAAGCATACTTCATTTGAAGATGGTTATGGGATTAAACTTCCTGAGAAATTATTCGGTCTGGCAAGCTGTTGTCATGAAGCAAACAGTGAAAGATGGCCATTTCCAAGTGATTCATCTACAGAGGCATTTTTGAAAATTGCCATTAGAAGTGTGCTCAAGAGTTGGCACAGTGCACACGTGTGGGCGGTTACTATAATTCGTCAGTACAGTGTACATCGAGTACATGTAGCTGCACTCGACTGAATGTGAGAACATGTCCTAGATGCTGAATAGAGGGTTTGCATGGCTGCCATCTTGCAGGCCAATATTTTTGTTCCACAGGGTATACACAAAGGAGGTTTCCCAGTGGTACAAGAGAACTGTCCTGCAAGATGGCTACCATGCAAAGCGTCCATTCAGGCACTGTTCAAAACACTGAGCTCAAATTCATACTGAGCAAATTTTTTTGCGTGAAAGGAACATAATGCACAAATGAAAATGATGGAATGTACATCTTTGAAATGAGTTTGTTTTGACCAGTTGCATGTACTTCAGGTATTTGCAGTTCACTTCTGGCTTTTGGTCTGACATCTCAGGAGTCAAGCACGATGGTACCATGTGTGATACCTGCCGCATGCAGCCGATCTATGGCATCCGCTGGAAGTGTGCTGAGTGCCCCAACTATGATCTCTGCACTGCCTGTTACCATGGCGACAAGCATCACCTCAGACACCGTTTCTACCGCATCAATGTGTCATCCAGCGAGAGGTGAGTTGGAGCTCTAGGTGGCAACTTTAAATCCCAGCCAAGGTTTTGGATTTGCACTGGCAGTCAGAATTACAGCTAAGCTTGTAAGGTGTTTGTTTCATTTGGTGACAATTGACTGACCCTGTTTGCCCTGTCCACTGTGCACGTGAGTAATTAACATGTGTAACTTTCCAAGACCTCACTGCATGTTGCAGCCATGTACGCCATACGCGTGTGTGTGTGCATGTCGGACATAAATCACAGCTGTGATTGGTCAAAAGACCATGAGGTGGGGCTTAATTATGGATCGCTCTGTTGAATCTGACGTCTGGAATCCTGTTCCTTGTTGGAGGTTGTCCACAAGAATTGAAGTTCTATCGGGGGAAAAAAGGGGAGCAGTAATCCTCCCATGTCATCTGGTAATAGTTAAAATCACTTTAAAAGTAACTCTTCATGGAGAAGTTCATAGTACCTATAAGCACACCTCAAGAGACTCATCTTATTTGCTTAATGTTAATCTGATACTCGACAAATTTCCCTTGGAGCTGATAATAAAATACCCTGTTAGCTTGAAAATTCTTAAATGAGCTTTCCATGTACAAGTGTGTAAAATCGTTTGTATAGCATCAAGCATTATGCTGTTGCGCAACAATTGCAGTGCATAAAGGATTTTTTGTCAAGAATGTGACTGACACCCCCCAAAAAAACTCGAGGAAATGACAAGACTGAGTCATCTAAAATGTCAAGAAAACATGGGAAAACACCTTGGCAAACCACCGTCATCATATCGATTGTAGCTTACAGTTGGAGTAAGTCTGGGCTTTTCACAAAGTGTGGCATAACATCACTTGAAAACAGTACATTGTAGTTTTCACATTCATTTGAAAAGGTTATATTGACTTTTCTTTGTTATCAGTGAGATAAAAATCCTCTACATTATATTGTAGGTTCTCAGGTTTCGTCTTGCACTGTCCCTTCCCAGCCAAGCTTAAAAACTGTCTGTCCTCTCCCACGAAAGTTCTTGAAATTGACACTCCTTGGTACTATCTGAGACCCTATTTTCAGCACACCCAATAGTTTGGAAGGAAATGTGAAGACTTGTTGACCAGTGTTGAAGATTTACGTTAAAAACACAGGCTTGCAAATTTTGAACAAGCAAACAATGCCTATCCAAATCTGTGTTTGCATATCCCCTGCAGGACAGGTACATGTACATGTAGCTACCGGTACATGAGACACTGATAGTTCTTTGCAAATCGATATTTTATCTTTTTTACCAGTCTGAGTTTAGAGTTTGTGACCTGTCTCAATCCCTAATACTTTTTTCCATCATGCTGCACAGCCAAGAGAAATTTTGTTTCAAAAAATGGTTTAATTTTGTATTGCAAATCTGTGACGTTTTAAATAGCAAGAAGTTACAACTGTGTAGCATTTTGCAATGTGATGAAAGGAAAATTGCCCTCCGCACAATGTTACTGAATTGTCTGTCTGATGTCAAGTTTTAATACAGGTATTTTTCTGCAAATAATGCCGACATCAAATGTTACCAAGTAGTGAGATACTACACCATTATTTGGAATGGCCAAGGTGTGAAAGAGTCGCCTAATTTAAACAAATGAGTTCCAAGTCACAAGAGCCATGTTTGAGTGAAAGACATTTAAGAAGAATTTTGCCCCAATCAAAAATGATGGGAACCTTTGACTTTTTTCTCCACTTAATGTCAGAATGCCAAGCTGAATGATGCATCAAAACAAAGACCTCAGATTGCTCCATGAAATGGATACTAAAGCAAAATACTTAAGACTCACTTTGTTGGATTCCGTCAGAATTCATGCTCATCTGCCGACTTTTTGACAAGCAATTTCTTGTTTGTGTTTCCTCCGAAGAATTGGGCTGGAGCCGCGCCGAAAGAGCAAGAAGATCATGGCCCGGGGGATCTTTCCTGGGGCACGGGTGGTTCGAGGTGTGGACTGGGAGTGGGAAGATCAGGATGGGGGCAGCAGCCGGAGGGGAAAGGTGACTGAGATCCAGGACTGGAGCTCCACCAGCCCCCGCAGCGCCGCTTATGTCCTGTGGGACAACGGGGCTAAGAACCTGTACCGCGTTGGCTACGAAGGAATGGTGAGTATCCCGCATGGACTCCTCCAGCCCACGAAGGGTCAAGCACTTGCAGACAGGTTCCTGTTTCTACATTTTTGGAAGGGCGATTTGAAGTGGAGTCTCTCTTTTCTTTTTCACCTTTGTCTCGGCATTCCCCCCCCCTTGCAAAAATAGATTCATTGCCATTTGTTTTGAGACTAAATATGGAGTGGGGGAAGCAAGCAATCAAGTACAAGTTCCCAATCTTTAAGAAGTTCCCAATACAACATTTTTACCAATTGGCATTTAACACTTGTAAATTTATGTCAATTTCCATGCAACATTTTCAGGTTTCTTTAATGTTTGTGTTGTTTGCCTTTTGCAGTCTGATCTGAAGGTGGTTAGTGACGCAAAGGGAGGGACTTTCTACCGTGATCATCTGCCTTGCTTAGGTAAAACTAATCTCCCTACATGTTGCCCCAGCATTCTCCTCGCAGTCAGTCAAAGATCCTGTGAGTTTCCCCGCACAGCTCGTGTTTGATATCCACAACCAGCTCCTGTCAGCATTCAAGGTCTTTGCGTGTGCACCCGAGGCCCAGTTGAAACTGTCCCTACTAGTCTCTCTTTTCGTCATCAGTGAATGTTTCTACAGTCATTTGCAAAAGTTTAGGACCACCCATAGAAAATGCGTTAACCTGAAGGAAAACCAAACTTCAACCAATCAATCATGGCAACTTATGTTTATTTTCAATGGGTAACCTTCATTGAACATTTCTGACTACATTTCCATGATTTGACATGTTAACAGTCTAATATTCAGTGTGTCTTCCCTTATTTCTGATTGCTTAGACTGGCTTTTTTTTTACCCATGCTGACTTGCAGACAAAATGTCATACAAGACCTGCCTTTGCCAAAACCTTCATTCAAATGGGTATACAGCACTGCACTGATGTTATGCACCACTGTAAAATCATGTTAAGTAATCACTCAGTGAGACAGTGTAATGCAGGCCCAGTGACAGAAATACCAATGAAATTCAAGGTGGTCTTAAACCTTTGCGAATGACTGTAGTAAGGGCAGATATTTGAGTGTGGAGATTCTCTTTCAGGAGACTGTCCAGTATGTTTGCAAACACAAACAAGTATTGTTATCAGGTCCTCATAAGTCGATCACAGGTCCTCATAAGTCCATCACAGGCCCTCCCAAGTCACTCGCATGTCATTTGGAGAGAATACATGTACAATCACAGGTCCTCACAAGTCAATCATAGGTCCTGCCAAGTCCATCATAGGTCCTGCCAAGTCCATCATAGGTCCTCCCAATTCACTCGCATGTCATTTGAAGACAATACATGTACAATCACAGGTCTTCACAAGTCAATCGTAGGTCCTGCTAAGTCCATCACAGGTCCTCCCAAGTCAATCATAGGTCCTGCCAAGTCCATCATAGGTCCTCCCAAGTCACTCGCATGTCATTTGGACACAATACATGTACAATCACAGGTCCTCCCAAGTCAATCATAGGTCCTGCCAAGTCCATCACAGGTCCTCCCAAGTCAATTACAAGTTATCCAGCCTCTGATTAAGCCAGTCTACAGAAATTAGTTTAAGTGTTTCTTCTATTAGGGAAGGAATTTGACTCGTAAACAGACTTTTGAGTTGACCTGTGATGGACTTGCACTGAATTCACTGCAGCACTGGTGAGACAAAGTGTGACATGCTACTCGTTTTGATAATTGATTTAATCACAAGCTGTGCAAATACATGTACTGTACCCAATTTGCCGAAAGTGGCATTGCCGTAGATGGCTGAAAAGATGTCCTGGGAAAGACACACACAACTCTGGGCTCACCTTTAGTTTAAAATGGCTACATTGAACATTTCTACTCCTACTTTTGTCAGGTGAGCAGGGACCAGGTAGCCGAGGGGTCCATGGATTGTATGCACTAGGCGATCAAGTCAATGTGGACCTAGACCTGGAGATAGTACAGAGCCTTCAACATGGACACGGTGGTTGGACAGATGGAATGTTTGAGGTAAGACAACTCTGCTATAGTACCTCTTGTGCATAGAGTATGCATCCTCTATAGGACTGAGTTTGATAAAGTTTTGTAGGCAGCTCACCTTCAGCAGCTAAAAATTGAGGGCATTCATACATGCTGATTTTCAAGCATTGGACAAATTAAAAGTGATTATTTTTGAAATTCAGTAATGTTACTCCACAGATACATTTCACATATAAATGCAAGTGATATGAATGTGAATAAAGGAATATTTTGGTAAGATATGCACAAGAAATTGGAAGCAATATCAATACAACAATAGTTGCAGAAAGCTCTCCATTCCTACTAACCCAAACTAAACTGTTTATTGTTCAGTTTAAACTGGATCCCATACATTAGTAAATTTCTTTTTTAATAGATCATTAGTTGGTCCTTCAATTTCATTTTTTTGTTTCAGACTACAAAAAAAACTTTGTGTGAGTGAATTCTATCCCTCTGGTACAGGAACCTGCAGAAAAAAATTCACAAACTAAAAATCTCACACAAGGTATTTGAATTAATTGTGGCAAATATTTTCACGAGGAAATCATCAGACCCCCTCCCCTTCTTGTACAATTTTGTAATTTTCATAGTGTTGCTGCTCCTAAGCCTGTCATCAGCAGTCAATAACTTCAATGTTTCATCCTGAATAATGGACCACGGAAACATTTATTTGTCGAGAAATGAATCTTGAAAAGTTCTTAATTTTGTTCAGGGGGATAAACCATAACAGTGTTGTGATGGCTTCAGAGGGCCTTTTTATGTAGGGGGGCTGGAAAGCAATTTTTCTTTTCTTTTTTTTTTATCGGAAACAGTAACTTATAAGGAAGTGATTGCTTGAAACATTACATGATTGTGCATATGTAGGCCTACGAGCAATGAGAACATCAAACATTGTCAAGTGTTTTAGAATTCAGTGTTTTGAGATGGAAAAACATGAGTTTAGTGCAGAGATTCATTGCTTTGCAATTGTGTAGTTTCTAACCACTTTGTGCCTTGCTCTTTGGTTTGGCGTAGACTCTTGGTGCTACCGGCACTGTGGTGGGCATTGATGAAGACCATGATGTTGTTGTTTCTTACCCAAGCGGCAACAGGTAAGTGAAAGAAGTTCAAACTTACTCGTCACCAAAAAAAGTTCTACATGAGTATGAACTCACTGGCTGCCTTTAGTAATGCTGGTGTAGACACCTTTTTATCAAGTTCACATCGGAGGGCGTGTTATCCTGCAATGCTGACAGTTTCCACAGAGAGAAAGTCAACTCATTCTGGCAGCGTGTCCTCAAAGCAGAGTCTGGCAAGCTAAATGGTCAAATTTCTGATTCATTTTTGTACACATACATGTACACAAGCCACTGGATGGCTGCGCACACAAATATTGCTCCATGATGAAACCATGAGAGTGTTTTGAAAATGAAGTTGTGATGAGAACTGTCTGATTAATCATTTACAGATTACTCTCAAGAATCAGTGTGGTAGTGATACTTGTTAGTCTAACCAATAGGAAAAGTGGCTATGGTAACTTGTCATTTCAAAAGTCAAGATTTTCGGCCTATAATTAATACCACATCAGGAGCTGTTGCCTGTGAAATAGTACCATCCGCAAGTGGTTAAGTTTTGTAGTCTCACCATCTTATTTAGAAACTCCTCCAAATGTAATTTAAATACTAACGTAAATTCAGCCAGGGGTATAAACAGATTAACACAAATGTGTAACACTTGGCACTTTTAGCCAAATAGAGTACCAAAGTGAATACGCCACACGCACAATTAGTGTGTGAAAGGCATTAGCGCGAGAACCAGCACGTGAACCAACACGCGTGCGTACTCCATTCGTTTGCACTGCACTTTCTGGTTCACAGTGACGTCACACTTCGGTACTCTATTAGTCTGCATTCCACTCTCTGAATCTCCAATCATTATCTGATTTTCTGTGCTTTCTAGGTGGACCTTCAATCCGGCTGTCCTGACCAAGGTCAACGCCGTGACCTCCTCAAGCGGGTCGGCCAGCGGGGACACGCCCACTGCCTCTCAGTTCCAAGTGGGTGACCTGGTACAGATTTGCAGTGACCTGGAGCGTATCAAAGCTTTGCAGAGGGGCCATGGAGAGTGGGCCGAAGCTATGCTGCCGGTGGGTAACAACATTTGGCAACCACATTAGGGCCAGTTTCATGAAGCTGCTGAGCTCAGGAAATATCTGCTCAGCAAGAACAAGTTACCAGCCAAAAAGTCATAGAATGGATATGTTGTTTGGTGCTTTGCAAATATTTGCTTAGCACGTAAACTTGCTCTGCAAGATTTTCTTCTAAACAATTCAATGAAACTGGCCCCTAGTCAGTTAGGCAAAGCATGCGCTAAAGCTAGGCAGGGCCTGGCGCCAAGTGCTCTTCGTCTGATTTCAGGAAATGTGGCCTGACTTTTAACACACAGGATATGTCCAACAAAGTTGCTCAGCTATGCAGTTTGTTTAAAGTTTCAAATATTTTAAAAACTTAGTTGAGGATGCTCGTAGCTTTAACAACTTCTTTGGGTGAACCATGACACGATGTTCTTATCACAGTTAGAGTTACCTCTGCCCATCAAAAGGGTGTTTCTTCATTGTCAGAAACAACCCATTAATGTGGAAATTCTCGCATTGATAAACATTTCACTGTCCTAATTACAGAGCCATAGATTTCTGGTATCAAATTGTACAGGTTGAGCAATGTTGCACTTGACCACTTCCTGCCCAGGATTCCGGATCCGGACACGTATGCTTTATATGCGTGGCCGGGGTCTCCAAATTCGGACAAAGAGAACAGGGCCTTGTAACAATAGACCATACTTGGAACAAAAGACCAGGCTGCTGGGCATTACCGGCATTTTTCACTCTCAAAAGTGGTGATAATCCAGCCTTGTTTTGAAACCGTATACCACGGTTCGGGGCATTTAGAGGGAGTGGATTACCACCGGGGACAAAAGCGCTCCACCACCGCAGCGATGAGCCACTCACCACCACTGTATGCTAATCTGGCCCCTATTGAAAAGAGGTCAGCAGTGCACCGAGCCAGGTTCATGAACAAAAGACAGTTATTCAACACCGCACAATCTGGGAGCTGTTTACAAGGCTGCAGGCCTGGATGAAATACTCAGGCATCAATAGATTTTGTCTGTCAGGCTACAGGGGCCACCAGACAGTCCTTCATGGGTTTGTAAGTGTCCAGTAAATGAAGATAGGAATTTTTAAAGAATTTTGAAAACAGAAAAAAATGATAAATATCTTGGCCCAGCATCATCGATATTGATGACTGCCCTGGCAGGAAGTTGTTAAAGCATGATCACAATTATGAAGTAAAAAACCCCATTTACAATTTATATGCTGCATGTTAAAGTGACAGAGATATGTTGCAAGTGAATCACCCACCACATGACATTGGTAACATGTATTATGATTTCCTGCTCAAGTTGTACAGCAAAACATGACAAAAATGGAATTACAGCATTTCTTGAAGTTTCTTGAAGTTGGCTGGTTCATGGCTGTAGCTCTCATCGAGCTTTCCGATGTTTGTGCCCTGTACAAAAGAACTTCAGCAGTTGATTCAATCTCAAATCCCTGTTAGGCAAAAATATGAAGTGAAAGCCTGCTGAAGTGGCAAAAAACTTTGAAATCTGGGGCAGATACACTGTTCAATGGAAATTGTCATCCAAATTGTACAAGCTTTGTACAAGTTTACAGAAGGGGTTTCATTATTTTTGCAAAAGGATATATTGTCAGCTGTATTTGTTAAGGTCTAGATTGGACTTAGTGTTGTTTTTTTCTGTCATGTGCATGTATTTTCCAAGTCTTTAAGAATCATAGAATGGGCCTCCTCGTTGACTTTTTATTGCGACAGACTCCTATGCAAAGTGTGCAACGGTAGGAATTCACCCCGATTGCGTTAAAATAACTTATTTCACTGGCCATTCGGCGTCGTGCTGTAAGTTGACACAATGCACTGAGAGCTAAGTGTAAAAGCTAGTATTGCATACATGCGCTGGTGAAATGCGTTTGTATAGCACAGAGTGTGCCCAGTCGTGCTGCGTATTTGATCAGTGCTGAAATAGACAAGCAAAGTGGTTGACAATGTATGTTGCTTCCAGATCAGGAGAAGGGGTTTTGACAGTTGCCCGTTTTTAAAATCCAGGGCTGATACTGTGTGCTACTGTATGTCAGAAAGTCCAACATGTGGTGTAACAGAGCCCTGGAGTCTGCAGGCGTACAGTGGCAGTGGAGCTTACATATATGTGTGCTCAGTAGTTACGCTCAGCATGCACAGAAGTTGTAATGTAAAGTCGGCCACTTCACTGTATCTCCTTGCTGTTCATTTTCTTTTTCGCTTAGCAAACTACACAGCGTTAAGTCAGTATGTTATTCATTGGCATTGTCAGTGATGTCCAGACAGATGTCGCATTCCGGGGTTTGTCTGTCAGCAGTCCGTACATGGCTCGTTTCCACATTACACTCTTACTATAAAGATTCTTCAATGGTTTAGCCGACTTATTGGTTCGCTGTCTTTTTCTTTTCTCGATTGGGGCCGACAGACATTGGGAAAGATTGGCCGTGTGCAGCAAATCTATCATGACAATGATCTGAAAGTGGAGGTGTGTGGCACATCATGGACCTATAATCCTGTGGCTGTCACTAAAGTGGCGTCAGATAGCGGGGGATTAAGCAACTCATCAGGTAAATGCAATTTGGTCATGGGCGGGCTCTAGGATAAAAAGGCGAGGCTATTTGGAACAAAGCACCAGATATCACACCAGTTTTAATATCTTCAGTGCCATGTCAGTTGGCGCATACATTTGACTGTGCCATAAGGGTCAGCCTTGCATGTGTTTATTACGTAATGCTTGCTTTTGCTAATAGAGGGCTTTGTGACAACAGGTGCAGGGCGCACAAAGTTCTTGTGTCATGCATTCTCACACAGTTTGGCATCATTTCATTTGGGCTTTGAAACAAATTTTGGACATAAACATCAGTGCAACACAGCTGTCCAAAGAAGTTTTGACTTGGATACAGTCTTTGACGAGACCGATCCTCAAGTTTATACATCTGCGGAAATGGACCGTAGACGTGACGGGCAGGCAACACGGTCCGCGCCCGGAAAATCCAAACGCCTGAACATGCGATGTACACGTGCAATGTGCATTATTTTGAGTACTGAAATTTTGAAAACATGCTCAGATCAGGTGGGAAAAGGGCCAACTCACTCTAGAAACCTCGATAGTTACAATTTTGGGATACCTATTACTAGTTTATTTGGAAAGAGTTATACAGACAACATTTCATGCCTCCGTGCACAAACCTATGAGACTTCTTTGGAAAAAAAAGAACCTGTTTTCTAAGTAAATGCTAAGGAATTTACTCCTCTATTTTTCACTTTTAGGACATGTTTTCACTTTCTAATGGCTGTTATAATATTTTAAGAGAAAATTATTGTTGTCCGTACATGTATATGTAATTCCATTCAGGAATTTCAGACAAATATGAAGAAAAAGTAAAATGAAACATGTGCGTAGCCTAAATAATAAGGAAAAAAAGTGACCAACGGTTGAAACAGGAGGCTGTAAATTGCACCACAGAGCATCTGGATTTTAAAATTTTCCAGGACCCCATGCTGTATATGCTTCATGCTTCGCACTCGCGATTTCAGCTATTTTGTAATTCCACTCACACCCCTGTGTATAGTTTTAAGGTGATAAGTAAACCATGACCACAATCTCATGCCATTCCAGAGAGATTGTCAGCACTTCTCAAGAAGCTGTTTGAGACCCACATTACTGGAGACATCAACGAGGAGCTCGTGAAAGCAGCAGCCAACGGGGATGCTATCAAGACGGAAGAGATTCTGGCTAGGCCAGATGCTAACGTAAGGCCATCGTCTTGCTTAGTTTATTCACTAATACTAGTTGAGTGGTTTCCAGTATACCACATAGGGAATGTATGGCCATAGAAGTGCCAATATCACCATTACCAGTGGTAGTAAATTTCCATAGCTAAGTTTGTGCCAACATTGCGTATCTTGAGTGAACCCATGAACAAAAGAGATCCACATAATGCAGGTTGTGCAATCTTTGAGTAAACTAGGCCAGGTCCGTACAACGTTATCTCCTATCTGGGTCAGAGTAGTAACAAGAAGAGGAACAGTCAAGGAAATGATCTGTTAAAAGCCAGCTTAAAAAGAGTGTTCACATTGCAAGGAAAATTGGCATTTTCACCAAATTTTCTTGAGTATATGAAAACAAAATGTCCACACTAGTTAGCTAACATAAACGTGCGTATGTGTGAAGTGTATGGTCACGCACTCATTCCCTGATTAGCATTTCCACTGTTTCAAGATATGGTTAACTTTACAGAATATTAAATTCAACCTGAACATTTCTCAGAGGAACTGTTTGTACATAATGTTTATTCATTGCCTTCCGTGTTTTGCTATAACAAACCAACAAAGTAAATTTTATCAGAATGTGAAAATTCAGTCATCATTTTGGAGCAAAACGGCACTTGATACTGAAAGCGTCTGTCTTAGATGACATCACTGTTATGGTCATCCTGGTCATGGAACAAACCAGAAACTGATTACCTACACATAGATTGAAAGTACCAAGATAAATGGGACACAAAGTTGAATGTGATTATTACTTATTAAAATAAATTCATGTTTATAGGCCATTTTTATTTTAAACTAACCAAACCATGACACTGCAGATGAGACATTTGGAAATTAACAGAAGAGTCACAGACAACTAGAGTATAATGTTTTATCAGAAATTTACCCACTGTTCTGCAAATTACAGCCCCTGGAAAGCAGTTTTGCGATTATTTCCTTTGCTTCTTTCTTTGAGAAATTGAAATACAGAAAAATTAACAGAAAAATCATTTTTAAATATGATATATACACTTTCAAGGATTTGTTGTTTTCTTAGTATCATTGAAACATGTTCGTGTATAAATATATCACCTTTTAATGTTAATGCACATTTTGTAGATATTTGCTGCAAAATACATTGTTTAGCCTGGTGATCGCTCTTCCTAGCATTCAGTTGGATGCATCCAACCCAACCTGTTGTCATTCCAGTTGGACAAAAAAGTTCTCAACCGAGCCTGTTTTCCAGTACTCAACTTTGTCTCCATCTCAGGCCTCGTCTTCAAAGTCAATCCCCGATTGTAGGCCACAAGCGTTGAAACTAAATTGAAGCACTAATATTTTGCTCTTTTTGCATCTTATTTGGTCCTGTGGCACTATCAGACTTACTGTGACACTGACAACTTCAAAGCCAGGTGATAAAAACAGATGAAGCCTGAGAGTGTGACAAAGTTGAGCATTGAAAACTGGTTTTGTCTTGTCGCTTACCCACAAGGTGTTGTACATCAATATAGGGGGAGGGGAAACTTGCATCTCCCATTTCCGGTCTGGTTCTGGTCAGTCAGTCGAGAACCCAATTAGATCACAGTAGTGACCGGATACATTCTGCTCGCCTGACACCTCTGTGTCTGTGGAGTGATATTTCAAAGGGGTGATAACTGATAGTTCTCTGCTCAGATTCTCTTAGGCTAGTTGTTGTAAACTTCATCTATCTAGTAGACATAATTTATGGAATGTTTACAGAGAGAGTAAATATTTAGGTTTAAGGTTTATTGAACCTGTGATTGTGCCCAAGGGGGTTCTAACAGAGGTCACTGACCTTGATGGGATGCAAAATGGTGATAATTACACCTCATTCAACAGGGAATTCAATCTGTTTTTAATGGTAACCAAATGCCAAATCCAACATGATTCTGTGTGGTGCGCACTAAACCTTGAGGGAAAACGATTGCTACCGTTCAAAACTGAATTTGTCAAGTTTACAGAAAGTTGTTGTGCAGTCTGTGCATTTGTCATCAAAACAGGCAGCATTTCTTCCATGATTCTGAAACAGTGCATGCTGCCAGAAACAAGTAGGAACTTTCTGGTTTGGCATTGATGTTAACTTCTAGGTATTGTACTGAAGTTATGGATCAATGAAGTAGTCCGAGCTGTGAAGGTTAAAGCAGCATAATGGCAGTTGCCATTGCTGATTGCTGGCCCATTCAGCGAAACTTAGGGTTATGCTTCGGTCTTGTACATGCAGAATGATCAAAGATTACTTTGCGTGGGCAGATGATGCCTATTGGAAGAATGCCTATCAACACAATTGTGCTGCATTCACAGCAAAGTCTTCAATGCTCCAAATTAGTTATCCCCAATGTGATTCCATCCACAATTCATCCACGTCGCCAAAAATGGAGTGATCCTGATTTTCCTAAAAAGACAAATATTTCAGCTGGATTTTCATTCAAATTAAACAGCTCAATCAAAGTGCAATTTTATGGTTCGGTTAGCATCTAATTAGACCAGTATTAACGTTTTTCACCTGCTGATGCGAGGGGTGGCTTTGTTTGTTCGTGAACCAATTACAGCATACTTGAGATCCGATTCACATTTTTCTTCCAAGTGTGACAAGGAAGTGCTTTGTTGCTGTCAGCAGTCATAGCTAAGACAAACTCCCTAATTAAAACCTCTCGCCCATTCCAAGGAACAACCACAACCCTGTAATTGCACCATGTCTGGTTCATCGGCAGGTCAACGTACAGTTTGCTGGCCACACTGCATTGCAAGCAGCCAGCCAAAATGGCCACGTGGACGTCATCAAAGTGCTCATCAGACACAACGTTGACGTGGAGATGGAGGTCAGTGCAAACTGTCAAGTGAAAGAAATCGGAGATATCTTGCACAGGAGAATGCCCGACAGCTAATAAATATGTACCTGACTGCTTGAAAATAGACTAGTGCACAGTTTGGTTCACTGCTAGCCACCTTGATTATCTTGCCATTATCGGCTTTGAGTTTTGTTACTTTGGCTGATGTATCACTTTATTTTTACCACCAATTTTGGTAGCAAAGTTAACATTCATAACATAGAAGATTACAACTTACATGTACATGTATATCGATCACTTAATGTAGATGGTGAAAATGCTTAATGGTTTGGACCTGTGATGTCATGATGGATGGTCAACATTCATGCAAGATGTGCAACATGTATGTGATTTGACTGAAGCAATTTGTATATTTCACCCACTTCTGAATTACTACATATGAAGCCTTGTATAAATGAGTTGGCAAGGATGTTCATTCTTTAGTCAGCATTGTGCCGTGATTACTTGTTGTGCCTGAGGGCTAAAGTTGTCTCCATGATTGCCTTGATCAAAGCCTGGGACACGCCACAGAACCATCGATCCCATAAAAAAGCTGCTTCTTTGTAGTCGAGTGCTTTGCAAGTTCTATAGACCTTTTTCGCCCATGTCACTGGCTTGCGCTAAATGTAAACAATACCACCACGTGTGGACCGCTGTGGTCATGGTTGATCACATATATTCCTACGGGCAGCTTCGACCACCTACAAGCGCACGTGCGAACACTGCATGCTTGACGAGTTTATCTTTGATATTTAGATTACCATTACAACACATCATAGGTCCAGCACGATTGTGACATCACAGGAAAAAGGTCTATAGGACACAGCAACAAGTCAGGTTTAGTGCATCACTGGCATTTTGCTTTTTCTTTTTATGCTTTGTACCTAGAAATCAATTTACAAATAGGAGGTGAGTTGTCTTTGCATTGATATTTCTGTCTGATGCGCGGTTTTTGCACCCTATCTTGACAGGACAAAGACGGAGACCGTGCAATCCACCATGCTGCCTTTGGCGACGAACCCTCAGTCATTGAGTTGCTGCACCGTGCCAATGCCGACCTGAACGCTCGCAACAAACGGCGGCAGACGGCCATACACATTGGGGTCAACAAAGGTCACTACGGCGTGGTGAAGACACTGCTGGAACTTGGCTGCCACCCAAGTCTGCAGGTATGGTGCATGGGTGTGCGCAGTGGGTACTTGGGAGGGGTTGGTTTAACAGGTGTAAATATGTTTTCCTTGGTTGACGCTTCTTCACTCTCATTCTCTCGTCCTCGCTATCGTTGTCATGTGAATCGTGACCTGCCCTTAGTGACGCAAGGCTTTTCCTCCATAGTCTCTTTTTTTTTCCCTCAGTAAAAGTTCATTAATTGACAAAGCCATTTAAACCGTCCGTCTAACTGTGGGTCTTCCGTGCTTATCTCTTCGGAATAATGAGTTGTTTGATGTTATTTCTCTCATTTACTAGAAGGGAAATATTTACAAGATTAATAATTCTTCAAAAGGTTTCTTGAGCAAACTGAAGGGTTTTGTGGGAAGGTTGAAGTTTGGGAAATATCTGTCATTTAAACCTCAGCATTGCAGGGGTAGCTGTCCCTCCAGAAATGCTGATTTTGTGATTTTAAATACACGCAGTCATTTCTGCTTGCTCTGCTGCATCCTCTTCATTACTTTAGCATTTGCCTTGAGAAAATATCACATGCGTAATTGCATAGGCATTTTCAACAGTGTTGAGCAGCCACACATTCTAAGTAATGCCAAGTTAATCTCTGGTAAGCGAAACATAAAACATGCACTACTTTGTTAATACCAAGAACAATCACAGAGACCAAAGAAGGGGGCTTCCCAAATTGCTACACAAGTTATGTCATGCCCTGGATTCAAAGGATGCATGGGTTTTTTGTGTTAATTTGGAACTGAAGAATTCCCTGAGATGTAGGCCTTCAGCAGAGTTCAGCCACAGACTGTCTCAACTGGCTGCAATGGAATCTTTTGCAAATCCCTTGACCTTGAGCAGCACATGGTCGCTTACTGGTTCATTGAAAAGCCGATTGAGGCGATGACAACTCCATGAGAATTTCAGCTGCCTTGAAGTGTTCCAGTTACGTTCTTGTTTATATCCAGGCTTCTCTGTGCGTGTTGGACAGCACTTTCATTTCACTGCTAACATACTTGAGCGGGTATGCACTTTTAAGGTCACGAATGCATCTTGAGTGAACAACATGGTTTGCTCGTGACTTCCTTCTGCTGATTTGTGCACCATGTTGTACATTGCTTGCTGTTCACGTATACATGCACGATCACCATAGAAACCACCAGTGGTGGCTTGCAACAAAAGTTGACAATGAACTGTAATGTGTTACCCACATTTGCCGAAGTAGACGCCACTTTCTTTGTATTCAAGTCAAGTACTCAATAGGAAATGCCGGTACTGACGCAGACCACATGAGGGCTCACTTGAGGGTATCTGGTCCATAATAAGATAACCCATCTAGCATTAAAGACATACCCCTTTGTATTTTTATACACTGTTCATATGTTGAAACTTGACATTTGTTTGTGGCTCTGTAGTTGTCTACAAGAAGGGTCAACATGTCACCAACATAATGGCATTTTGCCAGTGGTCTGATCTGATGTGGCAGACGAGCAGCAGTACTCAAAGTTGTTCCGTGTTGCCTTGTGTTGAGAAGAAATTTTTGTTGATTTTGGACAATGATTTTATATCAGAGGTTGACAAAATAGTAACCTTTCTTTTCTTCATGTTCTTCTATTTTAGTCAGGGAAAAAATGCACCTCACTGATCATTAGGTTAGGATGGACTGTTATGATTTATGTCATTCTCTAAGTATGTGATAGAACTGTCCTTGGCACAGCATGCCCAGGCAGGGTTGGGGTTTCTGTGGACTTCTCGCCCAACATGATCACCTTCACAGATAGTTGTGGTTAATTACTGTAAATTCCATCCTAAAATTCCCTAGATGGCTGTTGCCACACTTCTCTTGCCAATATCCCCTTCCTCCTCCCATCAGAAGGCAATCTGGTGTGAGCTTGCTTAGACCAGGGGGCTGCCAAGGGCAACTGTAACCCAGGCTAATAAGGGCCGATGCGTAGCACAAACTTTGCGGGCGGTCCACGTCATGCGTGCTGTCATCATCTCCAACCCTAGCTCCGATATCGCTTATCATTGCCCTACTGGTATGCTTCATCGCCGTCGTCTTCTTCACAAGCCCCCAACACCTTGGCATTTTGGTGAACTCATCCAGGGACAGTAAGACAGGTGCTCGCCCAGTGTGCTACTTGGACTGCTAAAGGGTTCGTTACATTAATTAGCTGGCGGGGGGACAGGGTACTTGGGCAGAGGTTGAATCCAAGGCCTTGAGTGGGGTTGTCAACTTTAATCTCACCTGACACTGAAACACACTGACATGCAAAAGGAGAGTACTCACATGCACTTCTTACATCAGCCTACATGCTCATATCCTCTTCAGTTCTCAAGTACTTGACCCGCATGTTCAAATATACAGTAGCAGGGATGATTAGATGGTAGAATGTTCACTTTTTGATATGGCCAAGTTACAGAACTTTATTGGCCCAAAATGTTCCTCAACTAATCTTTAAGAGTCGACAGTTGGTTTGTTCTATTCAATTGTATACACCTAATGTACATGTACACTGTGTGTATACCAATATGGATCTTAAACGCAGCACACACAAAACCAAAAACAAACCCAAAACTCTTGTGTAATCAGGTGATGTTTTATGAAGAGCAGGATATCTCAGTTAGCACGCAAAATCTAAAAGTGCGAAGAAAAATTTGGTTCAGCTGGGTTTTTCCCCAATTAACGAAAGTTCTTCCTTCTGTGCACTAGTTTACATGTGTATACATGTACACTGTCCTGTTTTGCATGAAACTATTCAGTGTACGTCAGAAACGATCAAAGGTCGGGATGGAGAAGTTCCATTGGTTTCCTTGAGAATCAAATATGCAAAGTCTAGAATAGCTTTACCGGAGTGGTTCTTACCATGTTTCTCAGCTGTATATGGGTCATTCCATGAAGTTTGGGCACAGTTTGTGACGGCGTCCCTTGTTACATCGGTAACTGTTATTGCTCTTTATTTTCACATTACAACAGATTAAGTAGTATTATTCAGCAAATATGAAGCACACCACTACAAGAACATAGCAATATTTAGAACAATGTCAATTTAGAATCCACATGCAGGGCAAAAAGATGTTTATTTTCACGGATGTAACAAGGGACGCCGTCATAAACTGTGCCCGAACTTCGTGGAATGACCCGTACGTGTAGATGGCGTGACCCAAAACAACAGTGTTGTGCTCAGGGATTTCGGTCAGAAAACATGGAACCCATGCAGTTAGTATAACATGCAGCCAGTGCTGTGTTCTGCTGTAAAGCAATATGTTACCAGTGCCATAAATGTACGACTGTCTTGTATTACCTAACTATTTGGAGATCCCTTGTCAGTGTACATGTAGGCAATGTGTTTGCCTCAGGGAAACAGCACAGGGGTTGCCCTGCATTAGTCATGTTGCAAGGCCTGGAAACAACAGTTTGAAACTGTCGACAATGAACAAGCAGAAACGGAGTTGTTTTTGCGAGAATGCCTCTCAATGTCTACCACTGTCTTCTATGGAGGGCCAAACTTGGCAAAAATATCTGTACATGTATGAGCCATGGAGTCAGATTTTACCTCTCATGTACAGTTGCCCCAGTCTCATTCTCTTATTCCTTTTGATTTTTTTTGTTTACATTTTGTGAATTATTCTTTTGTACTGATAGCCAGCCAGAGTTTTGCTGGCGATGCAGGGAAGAATTTTAACTGATCTACAAAGGAACAGACCCGATTGAAAGAGGTTTCACCGTGTCCTTTTGCTTTCATTTTGCACCCATTTTTATAACCTACATGTAATGTCAACTTTGATGGTCAGGAGCAACCACGCACAGTCTGCGTGCCTTACAAATTCCAGCATATTTTTCATGGAACCCCATAACATCTACATGTACATGTGTGGCCATCAACTGGGGCTTTCACCCAAAACTGGTCATGCACATGTGTAAGAGTGAAAGATTAACACTAGAAGAGCTTGGGGTCCTTGACATTTGTCCCAATATCGTTGCATTGAATTTTTTTCACATGCTGAGCCTTCAGAAGTTTTCAGTAACTTCTTATGGTGATTTTGACACCTATTTGGTGAAATTGGTGAAATTTGGTGTACTGTTCTTACACAGCGCCTGTTTTTCTGGGACAAGCCAAATATGTATTACGTTCTTAATGATGCATACGGGCTGGCATGCACATTTGTCCTTGAACTTCAAGTGACCGTAACAACCAGAGTTGACATTTCACATTTGTACTAATAATGAGTACTTTTAAGTGCACGCCATCCTTACTGTCCCGTGCAATTTTTTTTTCAAAAAGATCGAGTATGAAACAACTGCTTTCTAGGGAAATGGAATCCTGCCCCTCCTTTGCCCCCCCCCCCCGCCCCAGCTGTGAGATGAGCCAAAATAGTTTCACTCTTTCAGGCTTAAAGTAAATGAAATCTCAAGTCACGTCATGTGTGCATAGTGTCAGCCCCTCATTGATAGGACAGTTTTATTTGTTCAGAAACTTTGGACAGACTTGTGGGACCAGTAATCTGTCCCCATAATGAGTTTTTCCCAACAATCATCATTCAACACGTTTGTAGTCCGCATGGCCACAATGCCATTGTGTGTATGCCTGGATGTGCAAAGATGGTCACTTTCTCTTGACCAGGGAGACTGTGTTTGTAATTGGCTATTAAGAAAACTGTCTTAGCAAGATTGAAATACTTCCACAGTGGGAGACTGTCTGGAAGATTTTGACATGTTGCAGCATTGTATCCAATAATTGGTAAGTCTGATGTTCACGGCATGTATTTCAAGGAAACAGCCACATGTCCTGACGCTCTATCAATCTTAAACACAGAATGTGAACAAATATATGTAAGTGCTGGACAGTGTAATGATAGAATTGGTGTGACTGGGATATTCATCCAACAAATTAAAATGGCCTGAGGTCTGAGGAATATTGAAATATCAAAGTGATTGTCTCTTTTGAAATCTGGCATATTCTTACCATCATGGGAGTAAAAGTTTCACACATTTCATCAATACACCCCTGGC